AAGAGCTAAGTTTCATTCTTTATTTTTAGTTTAAGAACACTGTTAATGCATATATACAGGCCTGTACATGAAACAAATGTAATAATTTTGTAACTTCTGGCCTGTATTTGAGCCTGATATGCAGGAGTTCCTCAAGGCCTGAAAAATATTTCAAGGGTTCCTCCAGGGTCAAAAGGTTGAGAAAGGCTGTTCTAGAGGGAGGCTGCTCCACAGCACAGGTACCGTGACTGAAAAAAGAGGGCTTTCTGGCTTCAGCACCCCACCCCACAAAAGAACACGGGCATCACAAGCAGCTTCTCCAGGGATAGCTCCTTGGACAGGTTGACTATGGCTTATCCAACCAAATCTTCTTGAAATTCTAGGTTCCCCCATTTCTTTGTCAGACTTTTCTCCTAGCAATCCATGGAAGACATATCTCAAGCTCTGATTAGTAATATTTATTAGAAAGAAGGCTGAAGCACAAATATTCCAGTAAGTATTCTACTTTCAAATGAGAAACCTATTTATAGGCAACCTAAAACCCACCCCATTCTCTCATTTGTTTTCAGTGTAAAATGGAGAAAGCTTGTCTCTTTGGTGAAGAAAGGGCAGTCTGCATCCATTTATTGCTTCAGTAACTACCACTAGACTTTTTATTAGTGTCAGAAGTTATTCTCACATTCTCCAACTTTTGCATTCCAATCCCCCATTAGTAATGCTGTCCTTTCAAGATACTGCATTCAGTATCTCTTTCAATTTCCATTGAATTCCTCATTATGTTCTGTTATTATGTCCGTAGTAAATGCAATCACTTGTACAACATTTATGTTTATTGGATATCAACTATATTATTTATTGGGTTACAGCTGAGTATATTTATCAATAGCATTGCAATTCCATTATTTCATATGGTCATGCCCTGAATAGGATATCATGTAATCATTTGATGTAAAGTGGCCCATTCCAGTACATGTAAGTTCACGTATTCATAAAATATCAAGTTTAGTGCACTTTCTTTCCATATTAATAATTTCCCTTTTGTATATTCACAAGAACTCTGTCACTTTGTGCCGTCACACCTGACTACTTATCATCCAATGTTCCATCTATTTCACATTCAGTTTCATTTATTAAGGAAGCCTATTTCGTTCTCAGCTAGTGTAAATTCAAAATTCATTATTTGTACAGAATTTTCAAGTATTACAAAAACATCACTTGCAATATCTACTTGTAATCTCTACAGCAAGTGCAAAATAAATCATTATTATTCCTTGTATTGCAGATGTGATGGAGGATTAGGGAGAGTGGCCTGTCTAAAATCACCTTATGAGTTCATGGCAAAGATAAAATTAAAATCAAAGACACAGCTCAGTCTCAACTATATTATAACAGCTCTCAGGTGTTAAATACCATGATGTTTATCCTCCCTCCTGAGATTAGGACAGTCCTGACCTGTTGGCCTTTCAGAAAGACCTGGTTATGTGCCCAGGCCTGAGGTCCCAAGTGTGTGAAGGGCATCATTTCCTGGTTATGCTAACACCTATGGATTATAATATTGAGTCACTAGCTGGGTGATTATACAAACTGAATAAATAAATAAATGTTTAATTCTGCCACAGTCATCTCTACACATTTCTTTCAAACTGTTAGCTACACTTAGTAGGTAATACATATTTGAGACAGAGGATCATATCAATGCCTTTAATGATATAGTTCTTGGGCCTGTAGGTGACCTGTTCTTATCTTTTCCATATCCTCAAAAGCCCACTGAACAGATTTTTATCAATTTCAGTAATTAATACTATCTACAAAATGAAGTACTATATAAATGCAACAGTCGAGACACTGAGCAGAGGACCAGGCTATTACCTGATAATAACAATTACATGAATGGATGCATTCTTAACAGAAGCAGAACAGGAATCTAATTAGTACCAGTTGTAAATCCATATGCCACAGAAAAAATGTCAAGGAAAAAAGGAATAACCATTTTGTCCTTTACAGTGCAAATAACTGCTTGTCTAATATTCTGGTCACATCAATTTGTAACCAAAAAGAAAACAAATACAATCTCAGTTACTAGCCAAGTAGAGTGGAACATTGTGTCAGCATTCTCTTGGGTTTGAATAGTTGTGTCTTTCAAGGCAATGAGTCCTTTGAAGATTAAAATGTCAGAATGAAATCTGGTAATAGGTTCAGGATACAAATCTACATTTTAGAATTTATACCAGCTTGACCCCTCCAAACACATTCATTTTCCAAAGCAGGAGAAAACAGCTTGAAAAACATTTGAAGTGAGATCTCTTGAACAGTCAAATATAGTTGCTAGTAAAAGTATATTCTTAAATGTGTGTTAAGTGTTTTCTCCTAGCATTTGTCCAGTGAGAAAGATGTCTTTTCCTCATTATCTTCAGAGAAGCCCTTCTTTTGTTCAATTAATATAGCTAATACCTGTTATAAAAGCAGCCATCAGTTTAAAATATTTAAGTTACCTAAGCAGAAATTATTACAGTGGTAAATACAACTGACAGGGTATCAACCATAGAAAATAGTTTTCACATGCACAGTACAAAAAATGTTCATAAAGATCTGGTTACCTGATTGTGTAAATGCATATTCTCTTCAGCTTTTGGCCAAGTGGCTTCTACAGATGTAGGTACATATCATGTACCAGGCTACATGTACATGGCTTACACCCTGCAGTTTCGGTGATAGAAATACAATCTTAATTTAACTAGGAGGGAAAGTATGATTGGGAGACTCATTGGTTCACGCTATTGACATGAAGATGGAAGCAAGGGCTGAATGTGGCTTGGAAGGAAAAGAAAATCCATAACTAAAAGAATCTAAACTGAGGTAGTGAGTCTGAAGACATAGGGCAGTGTAAATGTTGGGGAGGTTGCCAAGGGCATAAGGTCTAAGAAAACAAACTGTAACTGAGTTAAAGAGATTTTTGTATTTCTTTGCTATCTAGTGGATGTCTGGATTTTTGTAGCCCAAATATGGTAGCTCTAGCTAAAAGCATGAGACAGAAAAGCATTGGAAAAAATATACACGGTGAGCTTTCCTTTTGCAGATTACACTGCAAGTTTGTTCACAATTAATTTATATATTATATATACCTGAGTTTATTTCTAAAGCATTACAGTCAACAATAAAAAAAATCTAAATCAGAAGTAGGAATCCAGCTAAAAGGCAAACAGACTACTGGATGACAAGGAAAACATTGCTAAGGAGAGGGATACTGTATTAATTACTTTCACAAGTCCTCACTGCCGAACATTTAGGACACTGATGCTCACTTGAACAGACTTTTCAAATAACAGTGACAGGAAATCAAGTTTTAAGCTTTATTAATGAATTAAAAACTGACAGATCACTAAGACCTTGAGATACCCACCCTATAGTTTTGAAGGAACTCATATATGAAATTGACATTTTTACTAGATGATTGGAATATGGTTAAGTTAACATTTTTTTAAAAAAGATTTCATTAGGGAAAGATTCAGAAATTACAGGACGGTTAGCTTCATAATATTCTTGATTTATTAATAAAAACATAATTAATAATATTAAGTGTATGGAAGAATAAGTCTTGTTGATGAAGATTCAGTATAGAAATTTAGCTCGTACATTGTGCTTACATGGTTTAAACTGTTGTGTGAACCCAGGCAACTGTAGTTCATTCAGTAAACAAAGCACTGCAAGACCCCATAGTTTTTTAATCACAGAATGTTGCTTAAGCTCCAGTTGACTGGGTCTCCATATTGTGGTGAACTATAAACCATGGTTTAAAAACCACAACAGCTATTTCACACAATGCAATTTTCTTTGAGGCTTAATGTGTCATGCAAACCCAGCTACGTGTTTTGCACTCATCAATAATCTATCACAATGACCAGCATTGTGGTCATCATAACATAATGCAATTATAAAGTACAATAACTGAAATCCATCTGAAAAAATATGGAAGCCACAACCCTAAAAGCCAACACTTTAGAACAGGATAGGTACCTGAAGGATGTCATTTTAGGATTAAATATTTATCACATAAATATTCTGAATAAGTAATCACTATGAGCCTATCCAATATAAAATGACTTGGAAATGGCTATTGTAAGTAGTTGGCAAGATAATAAACCCATGCAACTAGCATCATACTGACTTGGGTCTAATTAATAGTATGACTAATTAGATGAATCAACATTTTCTACATACCTCCCCCACTGCTGTTTCACTCACAACCTGCTAGCTCTATTACTGCAGTTATGAAAGTAAGAAAGTGAATTCAGTTACAGTTTGGTGTGATTACAAGTGAAGAAAGCTGAGGATAAAGATCAGAACTAAAACACAATTTGACTAACAGCTTCAATAGCTGGAATTACAATGGCACTTAAGAACTATGCTTAATATGAAAGCTGCCTATGAATATATTTAAAGCGCAGTCTTAAGCTACACACCCTAAACTTGGTATTAATTCTCAGTTTCCCAGGAAACATGCTTTATTGATCATCTACTAAGCTACACAACTAATAATATTTAACTGCAATAATAACATAGAAGCTAAAGAATAAGAAAGTTGAAAGAACTTGAAGCACATGAAATATAACTTAACTTTTACAAAAATCCAGTGTAACAACACTGGATCTTACATTTTGCAATAGAAAGCAAAGGATTATTTTACACGCATCTACATTTGAAATGCGAAATAGGATCTAGGATACCCACACCCTGATGCAAAAATAAATAAATAAAAAAACAGAAAAGGGCAGAACTAAGTTGAGGGGGAAGAAAGGGCTTTTTCTGCTATGAAACCAGCCAGACCTGGGTTAAAAACGTTGCCAGAAGCTGTCCCTCACGTGGTTAAGGGCACCGTTCCTTCCCAGACGAGCGAGGGGAAACTCCCGGTGGTGACGGGCATCCCCTTTAGGAATACAAGGGACTTTCTCCGGTTTTACGGCCCCCAGAGGGCTATTCGGTTCGTCTGCTCCGGGTCACCTGATCCTGAAAAAGCCACAAACCTGCGAGGTTGCGCGCGGAACGGGCCAAAAGAGTCAGCGAGAGGAAAGACCGAGGTGTGTGTCAGGCGGAGAGGGTAGCGTATTCTACGCATGCAGGCATTTGCCTCGTCCCGCTAGTGCCACCCCAGGGAAGGCTTGCGTCCGCACCAGAGATTAGGCTGCCAGGCGAGCAAGCGGAGATTAAGCTAGAAATAGCGGCAGCTCCTGGGCGTGGAAAGCTGCTCCGGAGCCTCTGCAGCCTTAGCGCATCTTCCTCTCTGCCACCCCTCCCCGCACCTGAGGGAGCCGCGAGTGCGCTCTAGGCGCGCCTTCCCGCGCGCTGGAGCAAAGCGGCCGGTGCAAACGGGGGGAGGGGTTTTCGGCGCAGCTGCGAGTCGGGCGGGGGCCAGAAAGGTTGAGGCGGGAGGAGCAGAGACGGGGGCCTTCTCGCGAACAGGAGCTAACCAGGGGAGAGGAAGAGGCGCGGCGCTCGCCAGGAGGACGGCAGCGTGTTGACAGGTCCGCCGCCGGCGCCGCCGCCGCGTTGGGCTCTTCGGCGCTCCCGGGAGGGAAGAAGGCCTCGCCGGCGTTTAGCAGCATTTGTGGGGGTAAGGGGTGCCGCTGTGCCCGAGTAACCGGACGCAGCTGCTTCTGGTCTCATCATTCCCTGCGCAT